ATTACGTAAGCTCGATTACCAGCCGCTATTCGGGAAAATGAGCCCGCACTCATCCCCCGGGAGACAGCGGAAATCGAACCCAAATAGGTAAGTTCGTGGTGTAACCATAACTGTTCGCACCTCTATACTACATAGGCCTACATCTACATAGCTGCACAACATGACCCTACATAGCCGTACATAGCCCTAAACAGCCCTACACAACCCTACATAGCCCTACAAAGCCCTACACAACGCTACATAGCCCTGCATAGCCCTACACATCCCTACATAGCCATACATAACCCTGCATAATCCTACATAGCCATACATAGCCATACATAACCCTACATAGCCATGCATATCTCCACATAGCCATACACAACGCTACACAACCATACACAATGCTATGTAGGGTTATTTAGGTTTGTGTAGGGCTATGTAGCGCTATGTACGGCTATGTAGGGTTGTGTAGGGTTATGTATGGTTATGTAAGGTTATGTAGGGTTGTGTAGGGCAATGTACGGCTATGTAGGGCTCTGTAGGGCTAGGTACGGCTATGAAGGGCCATGTTGATGTACGCCTATGTGGTATTGGGGTGCGCACAGTTATATTGCATATGAGATTACGTGAAACCACTTTATGATGCTTACACCACGTACTTACCCCTACATATTACGCGGTGGGGTAATGAGTATCCCGGGGGCGGAGGGGGACTCCACATATGAAAGGGGTGGGGATGCTCGTCGTCTCGCTTACGGGTGTAAATTTCGGATTTTGGTCTCACTTAGGGTGTTCTAGGAAAAACACCATCATATTTAGCCGTGAAGGTCTCGTTTAGGGTTGCACGCGAAAAAATACAGAAATATATACATTGTCTGTGTTTTAACATGGTCTCTTTTAGGGTTCAAAAAAAGCTTGCGCCACGCCCAGATCGGTCTCCTTTGGGGGTTTAATTCAAAATTTCCGACGAGCATTCCCACCCCTTTCATATGCGGAGTCCCCCCCCCCCCCCGGGATGAATATGCAGTGAGGATATGTTAACGTAAAAGTTAAACTCGCTCAACTTTTACGTTTACGCGCGGTTTTCATACATTGCCTCAAGTTTATTTACGTGCGTAAGCACGTAAAAATTAGGCGACAGGGGAAATCCACCCAAAGTGTATTGTTAGATTATTCGACTTACCGGCCTTTGTTGCACATAAGTATGTTCTATCCCAGCCATATCTCCCCCTTCTTGCATACCATCTCATGCAAGGTAAGTTAGGAATTCTGCCGCTGTAAGACCACACGAACCTATCCGCACATGACACAAGAATGAGCAAAAGAACAGAAAATTTCAACCAATTTACTCTGCTGAGTATACGCCTGTCTCTCGGATTAATCTGTGAGGCGGTTGAGTGCTTCTAGTAAGGTTTAATTCCTCTGCCTTTCTTTGGTAATACAGTCGAAGCTCTGGTAAGCGACCGCATGGTAAACAATAGAGCCGGCGTGGTAGCTTAGGAGAGCTTCAGAAACTCATTAATAATTCATAAAGAAAAAACAAAAGAATTAACGTTTAATGAGTGACTTTATATCTGATATAGACACGGCTAAACCTTACGTCCAATTTTTCAGACCATTATCGCACTGTGTAGTTTGATGAAAGTGTTGGTTAATACGAATAAGACTCTGAGTGGTCGCTCACGAGAGCTTTTAAACAAAAGCCAAGGAAAAGTCCAGTTTGTTAATCCCAAAAGTAGTCGCGGTCGCTCACGAGAGCTTTTCATTACAAAGTTTAAGGGTGTATTCTCCGGATCCTTTATTACTCCTCACCTTCATACTGAAATCTCCTGAAAAGATTATGTGACATTCAATGGGCAATAAACCATATTACGCAAAAAAGGTATATTGTTCCTTTCTATTGTAAATCTCACCTGTATGGCATGGCAGAGTTTCTAGGTACGCAAAGAAAGTTGTTGTTCCATTTATTTCCCCTTGAGTCATCCTGCACGTAAATATGCGTGCATCTCATCTTTGCTATTGGTTCTTGGTCTGACCAGCGCATTCCCAACTGTCGCCTGTCTCCAGGGGTGCAAAACAAGTAATTTTTCCAAGTATAGTAATCTCGCCTCTCAAATATCCGAAGGCAGTTCTCGCCTTCGTTGGGACGTACTTTTGGGCCGAAATTGAAATCCTCGGGGAACCTCGGCCACTCTGCAAGTAAAAAAGGAATTTGGTTTTATGGGAAACCGTTGCGGTAGGAAACTTTTGTCTTCTTCTTTGAATCGTATAACTCCCAGGAGCTAAACAGACAGGGTGATTAAAAGATCAATTCTTAATCACCAATGGCCAACGCCAGGGAAACACTAGGCGTGTGAAAAATAAACGAGAACCGCAAAGGAATACGACTAGCTCGTGAAATGCGCCTTTTTAAGGCCACCCATGACAGCAGCCATTATTTGCTCTGGGAAAAAGTAACAAGATAATCAACAGGTTAGTTAGAACTTTAATGTGCGTACCCCAACACTCTTGTGAGTTACATGGCCTTTTTTCCAATGATCTGCCATCACAATATGAACCTCCAAAGGCTGGTTGCGGATTAGTACAACTTCGAGACCGTGTTTGAACTCCCCCGCCACATCGCCGACTACACTGACTCCATGGAGACCATCTAGTCCAGTTACCGTCTGCGAAAGTCATAATAATAATGATAACCATTTTTATATACGTTAGCTCCATACATAAAACCCCTTGATTGAAACAGTCAGTCCTTCTCTAACAAAGTAATCAGGTGACTGGTTGATTAGTAAGCTGGATTTAAAATCTCTCTTCTCGTCAACGAGATTTTACGAGTCTTTTTTCCTCTTTTGAGGCAAGTTACCACGATCTGTGTCCTTGTTTAAGAACACTCAGTGTTCCGATAATATGACCTAAATTATTCCTCGTTCCCAGTAACTACCTCATTGCGAGCTATTTGTTTCCATGCCATCAATCACCGAGTAATTTTTTCTGCGCTCATTTGAAGTTAAGTCACAAAAGCTACTGTGAGGTAGTTCAATGAGGTTGATATGCGATGATGAAAAGGTCAGTTACGAGTTAACGATTCGAAAACTATACTGTGTGAATTAACACCGCTCTTAAAACTTACCCACTGCTCGTTTATGCTTAGTTGCGCACAAGTAGTATCTGGAGTTATTCCAGGTAGGATCACGGGGCTCGGTCCACTTTAAGCAGCTACCTTTATCTTTGTCACTGGGCTCATTCGTCAACCATTTGAATTTATAATTTCCATCGTGCGGCCAACACAAGTATGCCCGGTCCCAGCCCTCTGTATGAGATTTGGTAGGTACGCGAATTCGAGTACATCGCTTATCTCTTAAAGGGCCTTTAAAGGACCACCTAGAAGATACCAGGGAAAAACCATTATGATGGTTGATAAGCTGTTCCATTTAGATCCACAACGATGTTTGACACTCTCAAACGGTGGATACGGTAAAATATTTTTTTGTTACCTGAGCTGTAGATTTTGTTTATCTTTGCGATAGCAGAGGTAGTTATCTTTCCAACCTGTTGAACTTGGATGATAAATTCTTAAACAAATTGCCTGTCTTCCCATGGATCCGTCGTTCTTCCAAACAAAATCTCGTGGGAATTCTGGGTAATCTGGGGAACATGAGAAGGTCAATAAAACATTTCATTTAGTAAAATAAAACAAGAACTGCTTCCAGTAAGACACTTTATCACGGCGAAGTTGTTTATAATGAGGCTTAAGAAATTTTTCTTTAGACCGCCTATGACACCAATTTCACCTTCTCATGGATTTCAATGCTTACCAGTTTATCACCTGACAAAATGACTGGTCCGAGGAAAACAGTAAATTTTGTTCCCCCCATTTTGTTTCCTTTGAAACATTAAAACAGTAAACATCGAGATTCGGGGGAAACAAAATTAACTAGTTCCCCAAGGAACTATTCATATGCCCACGAAGAAACTTTCTACGTGCACAAATTCGTGAAAATAATTCTATGTGAGCGGTCAACACTCGCGAGCAACGTGCACTCCTACCCTCTGACGTCAAAGAATTTGCCATGTTACCCGTTTAGAGACTTGCTGCGAAAAACATTGTTAAGGAAATTTAAGCAGCGACGTTTTTGAGCGACGCAGGTCAACCAGCGGTAAACCTTTCTCACTATTGAAGAATACCCTGACGCTACTAAATTTGTACTGCTAACTTTCTTTGCTTTTATACAGCCGATTTGCTAACAAAAATTTGTTCAAAATCACGGCTCAAGAGGGCAACAAGTCCACTTCCGGTTGACGTGCGTCGCCCAAAAACTTCGCTGCTTCATCTCCCCAAAATTGTTACCGACGGCAGCGCGCGGACTCAGGTGGAAAAAAGTTTCAGCTATAAAACAATGCTGCTTCTTTTCTTGAACTAACCTGGACAGTTGTACAAAAGCTTGGCCTGTCTTATGTCCAGAGGACTGAGGTGACTATTACCAAACTTCTTCACTGTTGTATCACGTGCCACTATTGTAGGCTGACCGTTTCTGGAGAACGCTTTCGCCCCGTAATGCATGACGGACTTATAGTCGTATTCAACACCTAAACTGTCAATTTTGCGGTTACTGTATTTATCAAAAGCAAACTTAAACTCTGAAAAGAAGAAAAGACCACAATTTGTTTTTCAATAAAAAATGGTATTTCAAATAAAATACATCACGAGAACAAAACCATGCAATGGATTATCAACAGTGCCGGAATTAAAAGAAAAGCTGACCAGTGATCTAGGGGAACTCGACTCAACTGATATTTGTCAAGGACTTCAAACCTTGAGGTGTATTTTGGAATTACTTGAATCCGAGAGTTACTTTTTAAAAGGTGGATAGGTTTTAAATGTGTAAAAAAAAGAGAACTTGAAGATAATTAAAGTGTCAGGACCGTAATATAGAGTCCAAACTGAAGCTGCTCTGTGGAATAACTTTCGATACTGGTATAGAAAATGGTACTAATATGATAACAGAGGCGAGGTCTACACATCACAAACCAAGGAAATAAATAAATAGGGAATATTACACGACCGCGCGGAGACACGAGATTTCTCTTCTCGAGTTGAAAAATTATTTAATTTATTCATTTTCTTGGTCTGTGTCTTGTAATCCTCGCTGGCAAGTTAAATTTCAAAACGATCGAAAGTGACGATTTTTTCCCTCTGTGGGAGTTGGAGCTGGGTAGGAGAGGGTCGGTCTGTAGGAACATAACACAATTTATGGTCTCTCTCTTTGCGATTTGCAAAACACTTACTAGGTATAATGTTCTCCTCCATAATATTTATATAGTTATCTCTATCTGGCCTGTTTTGTTCGTGCCAAAAGCCAACTAAATGTCCCAGTTCATGTACCACAATCCCATGATGTGCGCAGCCTCGACCCAGAGATGTAGTTTGCCTACCGCCTGCTCGCCCAACATCAGAGTTGCACCTTTATGAAACACAAACAGGAAACAAGGAGATAATAAACAATTTTTGGGCGGCGTTTTTTGTGATATCCAGAATAGTGAAGTTCGAAGAATGTGCTTTCAGGCGAGGCTGATAACACTTACCGAGATATTTTTTCCGGATATCACAAAAACCGAATCCAATAATCATTTAATAAGCATTTTTTTTAAAGAAAATAGCAACAAACACACCACAGCCCGAAACACAGTTCGACATTGCTCTTAGAAATTACGCACTGCGCGCGCACTTATAGATTAGCAGATAACTAATATTTAGGTTGCGCCAATGTTCAAAATGAACTATAGGCTCTTAGCAAATAAGAAGATGGATATCCTATAGAACATAGTATTATAAAACAGTTAAATGTGCATAGAATTTCGAGTATTTTACTTTCAAACAATCTGGCGGATCTATCAAGTTTTAAAACAAGTCTTTACTTACTCTAAACCGTTTAATCCTTCAAGTTAAATAATTTAAAGGTGATCTTCACGCAAGCATCATTTTATATAAGTACAGCAATTTTACAGCTTTTTGTATTAAAGAATCGTCATAGAGTAAATAGCGTTTTTTGTTGGTATTTCACATAAGACTGCTCGAAACGATTGGATCCAGTAATTGATCCAAATCTACCTTCTTGCAGTTGTGTGTGGAGACCATAAGCAACACCAACTCAGTCGGTTCCACAGCTTGGAAGACTGACAGCTCAGATTCTAGTAAGCAGACCTTTTCGTTTAGGTTTGTTGTACACCGCATAACTGATAACGGATGGCAGGTAACAGGAGGTAGCAACTAGCAAGATTAGTCTGAAATATCAACCTTCTCTTCATCCCACCCTCCCTTCAGGGGGATGGACAGAGGTTGACATTGAGACTAAAAGTAAGACCTTTGTGAGTAGATCTATTATATAAAACCAAATAACACTCACCCCTCGCCGTAATAAAATTCTACATAATCTGACTGATTTACTCTCTCTTCAAATCTAATACACGTGTGTCTTTCCCATTCAGCCATCGCATCTCTAAGCAACTGACGGATTTTGCTGGATTCAGCTGAAACGAAATACGTCTAGTGATGAGATTGAGTCAGTAACGATGTGGCAAATTGATTTCTTTAAATTAATATTGGCCATTTTTATAAACGTAGACGAACATATTGTAGTTCGCTCTGATCAACGGAAGCGCACAAGACAGATTGGTCAAATACGACTTGCTGTCCAGTTACAAGGAAGCATGCTTAACAGCTTACACAACTTGGAGAAGATGTTTGAAGAAGTCTTCTGACTAAATGAATCGATCTGACCAATACTACTTGCATGAATTAGACACAACAACAACAACTTTACTATTTGTACAAAAATACGAAAGTTGAAATAGTTTGTCCCGCAAATAGCTGGAAAGCTAGTCGTGGTCAGGCAAGACAAATACAGCTGTACATCAACAACACAATTATCTACTAAAAACAAAAACCTTTAACTATCAGAAAGCCTTGCAGATTGCAACTGAAAATAGATAAAACACTGAAGTTAAGTGATCTAATTAACACTGCTTACTGACGTACAATGATAACACAGAAAAAGAAAAGTAGACATTTTAGCAAGTGTATCTATGTACCTACTTTTTTAATAAAGTAGTAATAAAGTCTTAGCTAATACACGTGCGCGTCGAGAGACTTTTTACTTACGGATACTGTAAGCAATGGTGTAGGGTATAATTCCTTTAGGCCACAGACTCGTTTTATCTCGTATTGGAGCAGAGCCGTCAACGCCAGTTACTCCTACATTTCTTCTTGGGATTTTCATGTCCACTTGCCACTCCTTTCTATTCTGGTACCTTGCTGCAAACAAACAAAACAGTTTCTTTGTTTACACTGAAATTTTAGTTAAGACCCTGGGGTTGCTCCTAGCGTGGGAGTGTACCACTCAGTTCTCCTGACTCTATTTCAGACTAGAACATGTTATTTTTCCACATCCCCGTTTTCAGGTCTGGAGTCCGTTTCTCGAAAGTTCCTGTAACTTTTCGGGCCCGAAGGCAAATTTTAAAATCAAAACCTGTCGAATAGTAGCACGGTTCCTAGCTCAAACTGGTCAATTTTGTTTGTTAACTGATAGTTTTATTGTATAATTTTTAAGACCAAAAATGTAAACACGGCAAACATAAACGGCTTTCGGGAACCGAAACGTCATCGCGACTATCGAGAAACAGGCCCCAGGCCTCTAAAAGTTGTACCAGTACTCAGTTTGGAAACCTGTTATCTCGCCAAGTGAAGCCAACATACTGTCAAGCATTTTATCAGGAGGCAGCGTGGCCGAGTGGTCAGCGCGTCGGACTCGCAATCCGGCGGTCCCGGGTTCGAGTCCCGCTCTGCCACTTGCTGGATTTGTACTCGGTTGTCCCGAGTTCAAATCCTCGGCCACGCTTGTAAATAGCTAACTGGTTTCCTTCTGCCAGTTGGGGTTTTTAATCCTGTTATGTTGTATTTGAATTATTTGTTTCTAAGTATTTGAGTGGAGTGCCTGTAAACTAGATGGATAAACTAAATGCACTTTCCACTATAAACAAGCCTTTTTTTATCAGAAAAATCTTGCACAATGCGAGGAACATACTCGAGAAATTCCATTAGGTAAATAAACCTTGTTTGGCCTTGACACAGCAAATAAGGCCAGCATAAGCCTATGAAATAGCGATGAACATCACGAAGTTGAACATAAACTAAACAAAAGAAAAGAAGACAACGCCCAAAACAATAGTAATACACCTGTATATGGACAGGGACACTGCTTCCCCCTTACTGGGTGAAACAAAGAGGTTTAAGACTCAGACTAGATATATTCGTATACCCCTCCCCCTCTTCCTCTCCTCCAACAAGGGCGTCGTGATATGAACCCAAGACTGCCCAGTTAGGTCTGACTTCACTTCACCAAATACCTTTCTGAAGGTTATTTAAATTGCAGATTACAGTCATGCAAAGAGGAAAACTATCTCGTCAAAGCGTATCTGTCAGTATCGGAATTATTCCAGTTGCAGGTAATAAGGTTGGCATGGCACACAACATTTAGACCGTGACTTATACTTGGCGATTTATATTACTAAATACCGTGTAAATAGCGTGGTTCAATAACAATAATATAATAATAATAATAATATTTTCACTGGTGACCGCTAATTTAATGTAAATCCTGGTATAAACATTCGGCCTCAAAAAACAAATATTGCCTACGAAAAAAAAGAGTTATCAAAAAGTTCTTAAGAGCTGAAACAATGGCCAAGGGCCCTTTGGCGCGATGAGGAACGGTTTTGGAGAGTTTCGTGACAGCAGAGAACTTTGCAAACAATCTTTTATGCAATCTTTGGCCCAGTTACAAGTCAAAGAAAAAAACAATTTGACACAGTTTACTTCAATAAATAAGATTCTATTATCCTTGTCGTGTTTCGGCTCATTGACAAGATTGTGACCTTTCTCATTTAATCCAATATATAGTGTATAGTGCTGTCAAACAGCTTTCACTGCATCTTTTCCGATCATGAGTCCTTTACTTTTTATGGGGACGCGGATGTATTTGCCATTCTAACGTTGATATTTTTGCCGAAAGTATGGTTTGATGGCTGTTTCTGTAACATTTTTATCGTTTTCGTGATTATATCTTAGAAATGACATGACTTTTTTAAAGCCTTTCTGTGTAATACCTTAACACATTCAAAAATCCCTCTTGGAAATTAAGTGGTATTGGGAATTTAAGAAGGCTTGTAATAACAAAGGATTTATTTAGCTCTGGTATTTTTTTCTGTGTTGGAGATGTAGTATAAAATTATAGAGTCCTTTGAAAAACTGCTCTAGTGTGATTATTTAAGAGAAAAACACATTTCCGAAATTTATGAATTTAGTTTGACCAAGCATAATCACTGCCGTGCCAGAGTCGTGTGGCATGGTAGTTCGAGGCAGAACTTTATTATTTAACTTGACTGCTCTGCCGAACCAAATTCAAAACATTGATTCAACTTAGGAAAATAAAGCACATTTTATGAAACGTACCTAACTTTGACTTAAAGTTAACAATTGGAGATCACCAGACTGAAGTAAATGATCAATCAAAAGATGTTCTGATTTTAAACAAATTCTTCTCATTGTAACGGTACAAAAGAATTGAAGGACATTTTTGAGAATGTGTATGTTGATATAATATCAATGACAATCTGCACAATTGATTGTACATGTATATACAAATAACTTCCAATAATTTTTGATGGTATAAAAGCTGATTTAAAATAAAGAAAATGATCGTCTACGGTGCTTCAAGAAACAATGGATGGCAAAATTGTGAACGGTAAACAATCAGAGGAAAAAAATGTAAATAAGTCGCGTGCGGCGTGCTGAGAACATTCTATTATCACATATGAAGTCATCATTTCGTGACCATCTGAGAGGACTTTTCGACTATAATACAACTGTAAAGGCATCGACGGAATGGTGACCATTAATCGACAACCAACAACGTAATCCATCTATGGGTGGATTTATTGCAGAATGCAAAGGGTCTGTTGTTTTAAGACAATCGAATTCGCCGTTCTTAAAAGTTGTTTTTGGCCCATGGATTTCCTTCTCGAGACTGGTCCAAACCAATCCAAACCTATTGCACCAGTCTACATAAAGGAGTTTTGATTCTGGATTAAAAGAGGGTGTGTTGTTCTCTGATCACTGATGGTTCAAGTGTCCAGTCAAGTGCAATTTTGCTGATAAGAATTTTCCCTTTACTGAAAATGATAAGTGACGTATTCACATCTCTAACTTTCCTACCTTGGAACGAACACAAATATGGTAAATTAAAACAACGACAATATGTAGCACGGTGAAGAGTAAAACCCTTTGCACTCGCGATTGGATATTTATCGAGGATTATGAACAACGGATGCGTGTACTCCACTAGCTAGTAAAGAAGATCTGTGTTTTGAAGCCTTTGAAGTGGTTTTAGGGACACAATAAAAAGTTTCAATTTGATTGATTAGGTATTGTAAAAGACAGACGCCTTCCAGTCACAAGAATTTTAAAAACACAAATGCTAGGGACAGACATATAGACCTTAGACTTTAAACTGGGAATTGTAGTCTGTGCACATTCTATTCGCACCCAGCCACTGAAAACGTGTTGTGTCAGCCAAGTTGACACGGCACGAGTCAGTCATTAGAATCATTAGACGACTCAAGTAAAAGTTCACTGCTTTTGTTGACTGCAAATTCCAAGGATAAGGGTAAAAATTACTTCGTCACGAATTAAAATGACGTTGTCACGAATTTGTTAAAAAAAAGAGTTGATATACTGTACCCCTCTGAAAGGGTGCCAAAAATAGGATTCTTTACTTGACCTCCATTCCCTCTGTACTAATACACGTTTTCTAGGGTTTTAGCTCGCAACGTGAGTTTTTGTTGCAGTCATGTAAAACTTGAACTAATCTATTGCTAACAAATTTCCAGCTAGAAAAACACTGCGGTTAACAACCCGAGATCGGCATGACAAGCTGCGAAAACTGCCCCGTTCTCTGAACAATGAGCTGTTTATTAATAACATAACAGATGCTTAAATAATATTTCCTCTACAAACCGCAAACTTTAAAAACTCTGTCTTGAAACCATGATTTAATTTCTAATCCATTTCCGAATTTTTCGCAAAATAATACTATTGGCGCCCCCCCAAAAATAAGCGGAGTCGTTGCTAAAGCGTTGATATGTGACATCTTGGTGAAATGCAATCCAATCTAGTCGTTGATGATATAGAATGATAACAATAAATGATACTCTGAAAGTTTACCCCTCTGTTTCCTTTGTTGGAGCATTTGTTACCACATATTGGCAATTACTCTAAGTAGACGGCACGCCGCTTTGTTTAAAGCGCCGTTTTGTTAGCCTGGTATAAACTCACTTTACAGAAGAGAAGGTCGCCAGACACTTCTTAAAAATTCGTCGGCAGCTCAAAGATATTTTCCCGGTCACCGAAACCCGCTTAATTGCGCCATGTTTAACGACTATGTTTGTATTTCTGAGGTATCATGTGTGTTTCAGACACGTAATTCTGAAATTTGTTTTCTTTCGATATCAGCCAGCCATTTAAACCACAAAATAATTAAGGACGTTTCTCTTCACAAGAATGCGACCTTGCGTTAACAACCAACACCTCGTGGTCTCTAAAACAGGTTTAATTTTTCTAGAAATAACTACAACAAATCTCCCACAAAAGAGCCTACAAGTGCATTTCTCAATGAGTAGTTACAATCGTAGACGTGTAGATAGAAAAAGGAATATATTGAACCTGGACAACACTCAACAGTCGATTCACGTGCAAAGCGAAAAACGCTTTTTCAAGCAACGTAATATCTTGATCTGAACTGTTGCATGAAGGACTCTTTCCCTGAGTGGATTGTTCATGTAGAAATAGTGAAGAATAATCATAAATACAAACATGTCATGGTCGCCAAGTCTGTCCCAAAATTTGAATAGTAAAATTGCCTTGCGCAAACAACAAGAAAGAACCCAGCCTGGGTGGACATTGAACAAGTAAACTACACCTCAAAATTCGCATTTGTTTAGAGCTACAACGCAAAGGTAGACAAATGCTAACGTCGCTTGATAAAAGAAAAAGATTCTTACCGTACTGTTGATTAACTCTGGCTATTTTGTCAAAAGCGGCGCTATGTTGAGTCGCTACAGGAGTCGTCAAAGTTCTGTATATTAAGCTCACAGATAAAACGAAGCGCAGGAGAGAGCTTCGAGTGAACCGCTCCATTGTTATTAAAGTACTAAGTGTTTTGTTTGACAAATTCGTGCTCAGAATTCTCGACTTTATCTGAAACCTCCGCCGGGATACGTCATGGGAAATGATACGTTTTAATATGTCTACTGAGTTGAAGAGGTGATGGCAGGTTGGTTAACAACTCTTACAGGAAACTGATAAAATGTATCAACTGAGATCAGATATCACCACATCACGCTGCGTGACCAAATATAAAAGGATTTATTAAAACGTTTCGGCGCCTGTCCTGAAGTCCTCAAGATTA